GCTGCAATCCTCTCTGCCCCAGAGCGGCGGACATGCCGCCAAAGACGTGGTCCAGGTTATGGACCGGCAGTCCGACCAGGCTGGGGTGACGGCTGTGAGCCATGCCCCGCGCTACCGAGGCATTCGCAGAGGCGAGCATCTGCATCGCAGCACCGTCTACGTGGCTGATGGTGTTTGCCCTTGGGCGCATGGGAGCCGCCGCGGCACCGGACCCAGCGGCATTAACGCCGGCCACGCTGTTCTTACGTCTGCTCTGCGCAGGAGCAGCACCGCTGGCAGACTCACGTCGATTGCGAGGGCGCGAGGACGGGGTAGATGTTTGGTGAAGCTTCTGCTGGTGGCGAAGAAGCAGGTCGCGACGAGCGAAGCATCGTGAGCATTCGGGGCACTCGAACGGCTTCTCCTTGGTGTGGGAACGCTCATGCCTTTTCAGGTGCTCGAGGCGAGCGAAGGAGCGCTGGCAGGTTGCGCAAACGTGCGGGCGAGGCTTGTCCGTCTTGGGAGGAGGAAAGTTGGCGGACGGGGCCTTGGTATTTACGGTGATTGTAGAAGCTAGAGCACAGGTGCATCAAATGGTCAGCCGAATGAGCACAGAACTATCAAGCAGCACCGGCGAGGAACGGACACGGCATGGATGTGACTGGACATGACCCGATAACGACTTGACATGAGGCAAGGCACGCCGTGGCCGGAACAACAGGAGGGGCAGGCAGTGCAAGCAAAAGGTGTCGAAAGTGGGCTCAAGCTCACCAGAGTCGTCAGCAGCAGCAGCAGCAGCAGCAGCAGTAGTAGCAGCAGTAGCAGCAGTAGCAACAGCAGCAGGTGGGTTGCTGGTGCCAGCCGCAGCGCTTGCCGTGGTGGGATTCGACATTGTTGAAGCGCGCGACGAGAGCCTTGGGCCAGAGTCGTCCAGAACCATGGCAGGCGTGTCCTATCTCGGGAGATGGAAATGGCCGCGTGAGGCGAGACAGCGGCGATTGCGAAACTGCTTTGTTTTGGGGTGTCGGATTGCGATGCAAGAGGCGGGTTGTGGTCGCGGGGTGGGCTCGCTGACAGAAATGGTGGTGACACGGACACTCGGGCGCGCAACAGCACAAGCACACAGGCACACAAGCACAGAGAGCGAGTGCGTGAGTGAGTGAGACTGAGGGCGAGACTGTGAGTGTCTGGTGTGTCGGCTTCAGTCAGCAAAGGCAGGCAGGAGAGGCGAGACTGGAGCGCCGTGGCGGGCGGATGGCGGATGACGGATGGCGGGGGGGTTTCGACAGCTTTGTTGGGCAGATGGAGGGGTCAGGTTCAGAGGTTTGGGAGAGAAGAGGCGTGCTCAGCAGCCGACAGAAGCATGTCAATCCGATGCGCCAGCTGGGACGACAGATTGAGGCATTACAAGTCGTCTATTGAGATCACGTCGGTCCCGCCAACAGAGACAATTCCTGCTTGGGACGGGAAGATGAGGCAGAGTGGCAGAGACGGGGAGAAGGAGGAAAGAAGAAGGTTTGGCGGCGTGGGACGAGGGCCGCGGGAAAGACACAGGCAAAATGGCACAGTGCGAGCGGACAGTGCGCCGCCGCATCATCCCAGACGGTGATGCTTCTCCGTTCTGGTGACAAGGCCAAAGACCAGACCAGACCAGACAGACCTGGTTGCCAGGCTGGTGCCAGGGCCTTCTTTTGCAGTGGCGCATGACGGCCGACCGTTGGGGCGCCGCGCCGACGGCACAGGTCAAGTACTCAAGTGCTACTACGGTTGACCGGTATTAGAGGTGCTGCGGACGCTGCCAGGCCTGGTGGCGATGTGGTGATGTGGTATCGTGCCTGGCCGGCCCCAGCTCGCGTCTCCCAGTCCTGGCCGTCTCCCGAGGGGATTGTCAAGCTGGCGAGCAGGATGCACTTGAGCCGTTCCGTGAGTAGTGAGCCCGGGCTCGGCTGGGGCCCTCCAGGATACACACAATACAACTCTGGAGCAAGGCCTTGGACGCGCTGCTCTGCTATCTGTGCCGTGCTCGGAAGAGAATCGACAGGGGGGTTGCTGGGCCGATGCATGGGCCAAACCCAGTCGAGCAACGGTATCGTGCTGGCTCGGCTTCGACGATGCTACTCATCAAGTCGATACTATCTCTTGTGAGCTTGGGGGGGGCCATTATACGATACTACTAGTACTCGGCCATGGTACGTGTGTACATAAGTACGGAGAGGACTGCTTGGGCAGTACCCAACAGACGCAAACAGAGTCTAGTATGTAAATACGGCAAGTCTATAATTATAACCCGTGATTCCAAGAGGCACGGCCTCGGAACGGCCTCTGCAATGAGACCCCGGAAAGTGCACATTCAGTCCACACAAAATAAAAGCCAAAAAGAGCACGGACGAAGCGACGAGGCCAACGACAGACACGACACATGGCGATGAAACGTCAAACTGACAGAAGATCCGGGTCACCAGACCACTGCTCCGTGCCTGCGACGCAAAACCAAAGCGCGCGGGTTTGATTGATTCCCATGAATGAAGCTGTCGGCCATTTCAATGATTATGCTCGGGTCCGCAGACGACTAGCCGCCAAGCCATGCATAAAGCGTCGACTGTCACCGTCCACAACGGGGGTTGCGGCAGAGCCATGGTGCCATTGGGGACGTGTTTCACAAAAAAAAAGGCCAGGCCGTGCCTGATGCCATCATCATCAGGCGCCACGTCCAAAATCACTCAAAGCTCAATTGCGACAGCACTGTACCAATACACCCATCAGTGCTTGTGCAATGTTTTGCGTGCTGCGGTATACGCTTGGGATCCAAGAGCAGCGTTGCGTCTATGTAGGTACATACATACATATTTACCTGGCAAGGTGTCAATAGTGCAGATTCGTCCATGTCGCTGCAAAAGGGCGTGTGTCCAAGCGCGCGGCCCAGGGTCATTTCTCGACAGCAGCGCAGACCAGATGACCGTCAAGTGCGTTTCGGGATGAGATAAATTCACGCCATTGCATCCAGTCCCTGCGCCGCCGGGTGGGCCCAGCTCTTCCACAGCCTTGATCAATTCCCAGTTCCGTTGGGAAGCCGCCGCTATCGTCGAAATGATGTCAAATAATCCGCATCGCCGAGCCTCTCGCGGACGGCGCCACGACCGCCTGGTGGTCTGACTGCTGATACGACGCCGGCCAACTCGCAACGTGGAATGAATGAATGAATGAATGCAGATGTTGCCATGCCTCTTTATGCCCATGTATGGAGCAGTATGTATGTATGTATGCCTGCCTGCGATGATTGAATTGATGGCCAAACGCGGAGGTAAAGTACTTAAGTACTTGGGGTAATAGCATGTTTGTGCTCACTCAAGTACTGGGTACTTGTACCGAAGCATGCAGTATGCATGCATGTCACTGGCACAGTGTACTACTGCGTAGCGGGATGAGTGAAGTACCTAGATGTTGCATCTCGACATACTTTAGGAAAGGCCCCGTCACGACTCACAATGTCTAGAGCCCATGACGCTGATTCAATGCGCCGTTGTGAATAATGTAGGGCGGAACTACGGGTTTTGTTGCCGGCATTTATGATTTATGCCGCCGAGTTATCGCACACTTTTAGTCTCAGGCTGGTCGGCTGCAGGCCATTCCCGGCTCAGCGTGTTCCAAACACAAAGTTATAATAGGAGACATGGACCGCGCACTCCAGCCACAGACGCCTATGTCGTCTTGGATGCATGTCTGCCATGATAGTACATGCAATGTTTCAACACGTACGCAAGTGCTGTCTGGTGTCAAGCTGCGCCCCCGGATGGCTGAAGTCACTGCATCAAAGCCAACGCGGGAACGGTTGATGAATATTCCCCGAACACCGAGTTTCTGCGTCCCTGAATACTTGTGCTCCTGTATCGGTCGTCGAGAGCGGCAAAAGTCCATATGAACACGCTCAGTGGTGCTCAAGGTACTTAAGTAGGTACCAGCACTTTGAGGCTCATGCGATGGCGATATCGGTCTTTGCTCATCAGGAAAGCCCATCAGCACACATTTCTGTCTGATTTTTCTTTCCTCATAAGCACGGTCGGCCGATATTGACAGTGTCGGCCATTGAGCAGCATTAATTCGTTTCCTGTAAATACGCTAGCTACCAAGGGGTTGGGTAATGGCACTGGGTTCAACCGACGTTTCTTGGGTTATTCCCACCAACGGGCCACAGCGGCAGGCCACAGCGGCAGACCACAGCGGAGGGCACCGAACACAGTGCGTGTGAGATTTCCGTGCATGCAAGACGCAAAAGTGGTCCACGTTGCCCCGTCCCGTCCCAAGCCTGCACAGGTGTTATTCGGTTTAGCTCTGGGATTTATCAGAGCTAACTTGCTGATAATCACTATCGACTAGAATACGCAAAAGATAGGGCCCTGTTTAACGGGTGCTTCAGCGTTCAATGTGAGATACCAGGGGCCGCCATCTTCTGCGCCGCCCGGCAAATGGTACTTAGAGGCAAGGAGGCTGGAAATAAAGCTCAAGAACGGATTGCTGCCTCGGGGTCTGAAACTAGCGTCAAGGGCAACAACCAGGCCTGAAGCGAGTGCGCGATTGTATGTATTAGTAGTAAGTAGTACTAGATGTGGCATTTGTTTTCCAGAATGGCGGGAGACTTTTTTTTTGTTGAGACATTTATCCGCATCAGCACTCGTAGTACACATGATGCTTGAATAATATCTCGGTCCCGAGGTACCGTGGCTGTGGCGGGAGGGATTCACCGCAAATATCGAAACCCTTCATCAAACCTGGGCGACAAGCCTTCCTTGCCACCGCCGCCGCCGCGTCCGACGATAAGCTTTAACTGATAGCCTTTGGGGCAGCTTTTGGTCGTTTCATCACGCCGCAATGCATCAAGGCCGAAGTAAAGCGACGCTCAGGAGACAAAGCCGTCGTTTGTGTCTCAGTCGCTTGAGCCACCAGCAAGGTACCCAAGTACCTGCCCAAGTCAGTCATCAACGTCCGTCAAGAAGCTCAAGAGTCAAGTTGCTGCTGCGGCTGCCATGAAGAAGGAAAGGGAAAACATGGCCAGCACGATCCAAGCCCTGAGCGGCGCTGGGACAGATTTAGCAGCCGATCGATTGTCGAGCTGTGACTCTGCAGGGCACATGCAGGGATCTGAGGCCGAGCCGCCCGCTGATTGCTCCAGCCCGCAGCACGCCTTTCACCTGTTTGGCCTTAGCGTCTGCAACCAGACTGGTGAGGGCCTAGTCACAGTGCGCCGAGTTGGAGCTGCTCAAGGGCTGGCTCTCAAGTTGCTGCGCTGTACTGCAGTCAACCGTGACTCGATGTCCATCTCGGCTCCCTCATAAGCCTTCCGCCGGTGACTGCCGAGTTTCATGTTACGATATACCCCCACCAAAAAAAAAAAAAAAATTCAATTCTCATGGACGACGCTTCGATACCAAGACCCAAGGACAGTCGAAAAGCACTCGTCGGCCTTGCAGTGCTGTGAGCGACGTTGCCTTTGCTTCTGACTACTGCAGCCTTCTATTCTAATCTTCTTAGAGACCCCCTGCTTCTGTGTATGTATGCACCAAGGCATGTAAGTATCATCTGCATGACCTGTGCCCATTTTGACCCGTTTCGCTGTAGCGCTGATGCGCCAATTTTATATCCAGTCGCCACGGAGCCAAGTTTATGCCTTGCCAGCTACTCAAAGCACCTAGGCAGTTCGTTGCAAGGCTGGGCGCTTGGTAGGCAAGGCGAAGCAACATGATGAGCCAGCACAAGGTCCCCGTTTGATTGATATCATGCCAGTTGGACTGATTGCAGAACATGCTCCGCAGAGACGCAATTGCCATGGCAGGTTTTGATGGAATCATTGACGCCATCAGTGATGCTTCAATCTGAGACTTCTGTATCAGAAGAACAAAGTATCATAATGCCAGTGGGTAAGCTTGTGCTGCGTGCACAAGACCTTGAAAGGACGTGGTTGGATCAGCAGCCATTTTCCATGCTTAGATCGCTACACATCTGGCTTCATTAAATGTCAGAGCTGCATACTAGCTTAATGTTAAATCAGATGGGGTCAATACAGAATAAACATAAAACACCGCTTGCGTGGAGAATACCAGATGGTTCGTATAGCGTCAATTGGTGACTGGTGAGGAGTTTAGGCGGCTGGTGGCATGTTGCATGTTGCATGTCGCATGTCAACGGTTGGCTGGGAAGGAGAGACCGGTTGGCCTTGTCGAGGCTCAGCCACACTGGATACTCCTCCTACTGTCTGGTCTGGTACATTACTTACGGTTGTCAGAGAGTTCTGAATGGGAAGGAGCCAACAGTCGACGAACGCGCGCAATTTACTGTGCAGTGACGGTCCTTGGCTGGCGCCGTGTGGAGATTTGGTTGGGCCTAGATGCTTTCGTCCTCCAAGCCAATACGATTCGTCAACACCAGCCAACTTCATCAACAGGGAACCACCAAGTACTGTCCAGGGCAGGCTTGCTTGCTTGTCCCATCCATCCCACTATCCACCAATCCACCAGGCATTTGAAAGAAACGTCGGCGTGGAGCACCCATGCGCTGCTTGCCTTGTTCCCACAGGACGGCAGGCCGAGTGGGCCGTTGGCCTGCCTTTGCGAACTTCCACGCAGTTGCTAGTGCCGGCTGGCTTGATCACGGCGAAGAGTGGGCACAAGCTCCAAGGACGGGACTAACGACAGGCGATGCCAATACTGGAGACCGAAACCCGATAAGACGGCCCGTTTTCGTCAGCTTAACCTATCCGATGCCTCCATCAGGTCACAACATAGCTCACCGCCAGAGCCTGATGGCGGGTCGATAAAAGAACAAAGGAGACCAGGGGAGCATGACGAGTGAAAGTGCAAAGCGCGGCCAAAAAAAAAAGGTACCTGGTGCGTCACTGGCTGCCATGGCGAGGCAAAGGGTTCACAAAATGGCGCCATGGAAGTAAGGTCAAGAATAACCCTGGCAGGTGCAGGATGAGACAGGGCACGATGTGATGATGGCTGAAGATCCAATGGCTGCGGTGTTAGATGTCTCCGCCAGCTCATGCGCCTCCAAGCTTCATCGTAGAGTGGTACGGCATCCAGGATATCAGGTTGCGATGCTACATGCGGAGCACAAGCTTCGCGCCGTGGCGTGGCATTCGGTTGCTCCATGGGAGCCTTTCTGCGACCAAGGCAACGAACTGGTCTTGTCAACCGAGCACCACAAGGAAGACTCGATAACTCGAAGCATGGCCATGTCAATTGTTTTCACTCCCGCATTCGACAGGTCAGCAGTATGAGGCGGTCTATTTTCCAGCAGCCGCATCTGGATCTGTATAGAACAGTTTTAACCATGTCGCAGCCCTTTGTGGCCGAGTTCAAACTTCACATACATGCACTCACCATATATCAGTATCGACAAGAGTTCGGTGATATTTGGAACGCTGTCATGGCAACACACGCCTGTCGGCGGCAGCAGGAGATGCATCGGCAGGCATTCCGATCACTGGTGCCCAAAGGCCTAGCCTGATAATACTACTGTTATTCAGACAATTTCAAATTCAAGCAAGGCTGAGTCCAAGTCTTTGTCCAGAAAATATCACGAGCAAGCTCTATCCAGACCCGAGACCTATCTCGAGTCACATCTTCACCAGTTCGCCAGTCGGTTGCAACTAAAAGGGTGGTCATTCTACGTGGCTCGAGCCTACTGTTCTGGATACATACATAGCACTGGCATATATTGGACCCGGCAAAACGTCATAATTCAGACTTTCGCACAGCCTTGGCTGTTTGCCATGACGTTACTATAGGTCCATCCGCCAAATGTTGTCCTTTTCCAGTCACAACATCATGCTGAAGAAGAAGGGACCTTTTCCAAAGCTCTGTCACCCGGATCCCACCATGCATGTTCGCTGACGCACAGTCCTGGCTTGAAATGGCTCCACGTTCCAGACTCGCGGCCAACTTCTTTATCCGATGGACCGACCGATCTTTGCTCCGTGGAGGGTCTCGAATGTGGATATGTTTGACTCTCATTTACGGATTTGCGACGGGCGAAATCAGACCTGTGTTGCGCAGTCAAACAGGCTATAAAGGGCTAGGTCTGTATATTGTTGGTCGTCTACAATCGTCTATCGAAAGCGAGTCCAGTTTCTTCTCCAGTAGCATTAAACAGAATGGAACGAATTTGCTATTTGTACGCTTGTGTATGGACACACTGCTATCATGTTGCGCAGTGTAGCAGCAAAAAGCAACAGGAGGCATCAATATAACCAGGTGACTCCAATGGCATCTCGGTACTAGTCGATAGCATCGAGGCTTAGCCCCGAAAAGGTCAACGATGAATCTCTCTAAGAAGTATCGGTTCAAAAATACTTGTTCAAGATATGGATCGTTCACTGGCCACAAGTTTACCAGTTTCACTGGGCGTTGGTGCCTCTCACGAGTACGCGAGATTGAACTTCACATTCATGAGCCATCTTCGGAATTATTGAGGTGGCTGGCACCCATGATGCACCGGGATACTAAATAATGATTATGGCTACTTTTTATTCGTCTACAAATCCTTGGGATGCATGGCTACACTTTTAATGCAGACAAGATTGGACAATCCTGCAGGCCCAGTATGCACAACGGGCGAGGAAGCATACTCCAGGAGTATGTGGCACATGCCAACCAGGTCGAGGCATTGCCTGTCTTCCAGACGACCCTCTTGATGTGGCCCAGATGTACCAGGCCATGATAGTTGGACAAGGCCGACCGTTCCGTGGTACCAAGTTGGTATGAGGAGCCCGGGTCGTTAGGAGCTCACGAATCCGCAACACAGAGGATTAGTGCAGCTTGTCCCGAGTTGCCAACTTCTCAGCACTTTGTCGAGTTGGCTCAGGTCTTCCGGCAACGGGCCATTGCTAGCCCGATGTACGGAACGGTCATAGAACAAGTGCCGAGAGGGCTTTTCACCATATGGACAACACTTGATTAGAACGCATTGTCTGTCTCGCAATCGGTGTACCTGTCTCTGACTCCACCAATATAACCCCATGATGTTCACCCTGGAGGTTTCTGGGGTCGTAACAAAGGGGTGATTGGGCCGACATTCGCACTATGGAGCATGGGTTACCGGAGTGATCCATGGAGCCTGAGTACGTATAATTGTATGTACATACATACATACATGAGTGTGCAATACTAGATTCAAGTATCTCTCTGTACCTGGAGGGCGGCCTTGATCAGCCAGGTTTTTGGCCCCAGCTTGCACCCACCAGAGGCGCTGACACCAGCGTCAGGGCCCCTGCTTTCCCCAGATTTTTAGTGCGGTGCAGATCACAACCAAGAAATTAGATGTGGACAATGCTGAATTTGCAACGAACGACCTGGAACCCCAGAAAGTGCGCGGCGTGGATGCTTCCCTGGCCGGAGGCATGCATGAGCTAGACCCTGGGGTAGCACGGCTTGGTAAAAGCCTACAGCAACGAGTGGTACATACTCATCACCAGGAACGAGGAAACGGATGCTTGGCCAAGGTTGTCATTCGCCCACTGGTGTTACTGGTCTGCTCCTCGGGAGAGTGATTCCCCGAGCAGTTCACCACTTCTACCACATATTGGTCAATAGGCTTCTGTTGGGCAATGAATAAGTAGGACAACTTGCTGCCCATGACACCAGGGACCACGGCCATGGCCCTTTGAGATGACGACCTGACGAGCTGGGCCAGACGGCTTGCTCATCGCAGGGCAAGGGCGTTGCGAGTAAAAGGCCACTCCTGGCCACCAGCGATTGGCTTTTAGGTATTATCAACTATGCCTTATACGAAACGATTATGTCTCTAGTATGGGGTAGGGAAAAGAGGAGAAACAAGTCGCGCGGAGCCGCAGAATGGTAACCCAAAATGACAAGCAGACGACGCATGATGGATACGATTTCACACGAAACGAGGTAAACTGTGAGGGCGGTGCAGCTCCGCCGTGATGCCCATCCCTCACATCAAACAAAATCCAAGTCCCTTCTCCGGAGCCGAAAAACATCGTCTTTGTCAGCACCGTCGTCCTGGCCAGCAAACCATGACAACGAACTGGGTGTGGTTGTCGGCAAAGGTCTCGGCGCAAGTTGTTTGTCTAGAACCACTACTAAAGATAACACATTCAATGCAACAACAGGGATACAACTCCAGACCCCACACACATTCTCAGCATGGTGAATCCAAGGGGCCAATCGATTAAACAACGGCTCTGGGGGTTGCATTAGTGCTTGGAATTAGAGCAGAGGAAAGAGGTACTATCTTTTAGGGCCATCTTCGTCCAGAAACCGCTCCCGCACACCGGCTGAAGTATCATGATTGTATGAAACGGGATACATTT